CCTGCTCTTAGTGACAATGGAGAGAACTAAACGACCTCTGGACACATCCGGTGGAAGTTCGCCCCATACAGACGGAGAAATGAACAGTTTCCTACGACTAGCTCGCAGCTCTTCTGTCGTTGCGTTAGGTGTGTTTTGAATCCTGCAGCCTGGAGCCAGAGTTAACAGAGTTAACTACATTATACGAACATGGGTTAATGATAAAAACTGACCATTATTCAGCTGATTGATCTGGATGTGTTCTTAAATTAGTGAGAAATTAGGTAAATCATTTTTTTCCTTATTTTCTGTTTTTTTCCAAAGTCAATGAGAAATCATGTTTAATAAGTGTGATCTCAATATTGATCACAATAATTGTGATTATGATTTTTGCCATAATCGAGCAGCCCTAGCTTTAGATTAGTACAGTGACCATATGTGGGACAGGAAACATAGTTTATTATATTACATAGTCTATTTGTGTCACTGGCCTTAAAATTCCAGTATGCCAGTAAGCTTTCATAAAGGAAATATGTCTAGTGTGAGGGGGGTTCAGTAATCAGTGTCTTTGTTGAGTTGATTGTTAAAGCATGTTGTTGACAGTGGTGTGTTTGTAGCTTGTAGCTTGGGGCTGGTTTGTGAAGTGCATTTAATGGTTGAGATTTAATTATGCTAACAATTTCCAATTTCCACTATAGTACTACTACATTGGCTGTTTCAGTGTTTCTATGTCAGCAAGTATAATGTTAAGACCCACTGTTGTTTGCAGCTTTGTATATTGGTAGGCTGGTTTGTACAGTGTATGTTTGGTGGTTGAGGACCAGTATGGATTTGCTAGGTTTTGTCACTTCACATACTTTTCCCATCCTACACTGAATGTCTGAATAATTTGTTCAATATAGACAAGAGCAAAATGATATCTGAAAAATACAATGAAGCATTTGGGGAGGCAAATTGTTTCTCTAAAATTCTCAAGCCACCAAACTGTTAAAATACTAATGATGACTGAGCTGATGATGGGTAACAACAGTTCAGCTGTTTCATGCCAATGCCATCTTGACATAAGATACCAACATTCTAGTCATGGGTTTTTATGTCAAGGTGTTTTTTGTCTTCAATCAAAGTGTATCACCCATCTGATGTCAGAAAGACGTCCTGCTACTTTCTGACATTACAGAAAGTAGCAGGGAGGGACATTAATATCTGTACAAAATGTCATGATAGTCCTATTTTTCAGTCTGGACCAAAGAAGTGCACTGATGGAATGGACAAGTGAACTGCAGTGGTTCTTGCATGGCTAAACATTAAGATGATACAACATGTAACTGTCGTCGCAGGACTGCATTTCAAGGACTGTAATTTTTCGTAACACTGCCACCTAATGAATTGGATGACAGGACCGCATTTCTCTAACAAGATGCACAACAGTCATAGTGTGAGTACTTCACGTAAATCGAGTTTTACATGATTCATGTTAAAAACAACTGTGGTGTCTTGACCTGGGCAGCAAAGTAAACATTAGATAGCTGAATGTGAGTAGCTATCATAATCATAAAGGCACTGAAAAAATCCATCAGTTATCTTATGTAAGCTTGCTGCAAAAAAAACTGTTTGCCTATTTATTTATATGTTTAATGAACCCATAGCACAATTTTGGCAAGCCCAACTAGGTGTTGACATATGACAAGTTTAAATAATTTTACTTAATCTTTGCTGACTGCCTGTTTACCATATATTACATTCCAGCAATACTGTACACAATACCTGCTATCAGCTAATCTCTTCATTTTCAGTCGGCTTTTGTAATGTTGGAGTAGATAATTGGCATTTTCAATAGTCAGTTATTATGTCGGCCTAGTCTGCAGGCCTACACCATGTGCTACCACCTGTTAGATTCTGCCATGTATAGCCTGTATGAAGGGATGAACTAAATCAATAATAGAAGTAAGAGTAGAGAATGTATTGTTTTTTTAGACAGTATCATAACTTTTTTTGATCAACTACTTACTAGTATTAGTTAATATCTCAAATAAGAAATAGTAATGTTATTTAATGAGTGTTTAAGTGTTAGCAACGTTTCTGTTAACCCAGCAGTGATTATTTTGTCTGTTTCCTATTTCAGTGAAATGGGGGAATTTAGTCGAGATTGACATGGAATTGAGGAAAGAAGAGAGACCATTCAGTTGGTAGGTAGTGCTGTGACCTACTTTGCAATCTGAAGTTTGAATATTGAAGAGTCAGAGAAAGTCAAGTATCAATAACATGTTATCTCTAGTGGTTGAGGTTCTCTTAACAACCCAGCTGAATTGCAGGACAGAAAGTAGTATTTGGGTGGAATAAACCTTTATGGGCAGTTTTGTGGCCATCTTATTCACTGGGTGGCGCTGTCTCAAAAAACTAGGTTCCTGAGGCTGTAGTCCTGAAGTTGCGGCCTACAGTGCTGCAGGACCCTTTTATACAGTCTATGGCAGGAACTTAATACTGGGGAATTATTGTGGTCCTGCTGTTCGTACCTATTTTGGACAGGAGATGGTGTAGTTTTACCGCTTTGAGAGCTGTGTCTTGCTGAGAGGTCAGGAGGCCCTAGGAAATAGCTGAGGTCAAAGTAACAGAATTTGCTTTCATCTGTTTTAGTGCTCCCTTTTTTTCTTCTTCCTTTTCTTGTTTTTTCCTTCGCAGAGTCAGGGTATCAGTTAGTATAGGCTATGTCTCTTAACTTGATAATTTTTGTGATTTTATTTGAAAGATTGTCATATTTTTTTTCTCATATTAACGTATTTATTATACTTACTTGTGCGGGCAGATGTTACAATTGGCTTGCTTATTCTTTTGTTCTTCATTTGTGCAGAAACATGGAGGGAGTAACACACCCCTGGCCTCAGGCTGCTGAAGGTAACACTGTTTGCTTCAGTTGTCAACTCTTGCACGATTTCTCCCTCCATGCAACAAGTCACAATGTAGGTCTCCAGTTCACCAGCAGGAGTGTCCCACTGCAGAGACAGTGACTCGTTGCTAACATTATAAACTGTTATGCTCGCAGGAGGAACAGGTTCTGTGAGAATAATAAAAAAAAAAAAAAGTTTCATTCAATAATGGAAGTTCAATTTCTGTCCGTATGTGGTAACATTTTAAATTGCTATAACTGCCAAACATAGCAGGTGTGATAAACAACAAAGTTACAATAAGCACAGTACAAGTTGTACACAAACCTGTATAACAAACTAAGAGCATACATCAGTGTAAGAAGTACATATACTTCAGCATTTATAAGCAATTTAATTTTGAATATGAGCTGCATGACATTATTTTAGATTTACCTGTAAAGACAGAAACAGAGGCTGCTTTGCTTCGATTTCCATTTTCTGCTATTCTTGTGATGCTGAAAGTATACTCAGTCCCAGGATTCAGTCCTTCAACATCTACAGCACTGGAGTCTACACGGATCACAGTGTCTTTCTGTGTCTCACAGGAGTAATCTATATGAAGTTTATACTCAACAGAGGAATCAGTGGGTGTCAGGCCAAGAGAAACAGTGTCACTGCCTGAATAGAGAACTGTTACCTCTGGTGGTGGTGGAACATCTGCTGTAAGAGAAGAGATGCACATGTCACTATCTCCACATTACAACAGGATTTTACTCATGACAATATGTACATTTTTTTAACACTTGAACACTGGTATTTATTTATTCATGCTAAACAACAGATTGCTTAAGGCTGCACTTCAACACTTTCTTTAGTCATACATACAGTCAGACTGTGGTGTTGCAGCAGAGACTCCTTCCTCACAATGAAGCTCAAGCCAGTCATCCGGTGCATCATAGAACTCCTTATAATGATAATAGAGAAAATTAAGCATCTTTAATGTAAGAAATATTCATAATTGATAAGACAATATGCAATATGGCATGTCGTTTTATTACTTTTAGTATTCTTGATTATCCATTGTTTTGTTTACCTCCTCCTCCTCTGAGTTTTCCATTGTGGGTAAACTCTCAGTCATCTCACACCTGGTCCAGATTATTTCATCTGCTTCTCTCTAAAAGTAATAGGAAACAAGCTAATACTGTAAGTTTAGGAAATCAAAAAACAGCCCAAAATTCCCCCAAAATATAACTGTAACCAGATGAAAACAAAGGAAAAGCTTTGCTGATTCATGCGTCCTTGATACAAGTGCATTTTAACCACCAGTTCATTTTAACAGAACACTTTACAGGTGGAAGCCCTGAAATGTGATCAGAGAATCTTTTTATGAAGTAGAAGCAATACAACCTACCAAGACCTACCTTTTGTAAGACAGATTTTTCCATGGCAAAACAGCATCATTCTTTTATCCAGGAGTTTCGATCGACTGTATGTGCAATATGTTGTAATAGGTTAGGAATTTAGCCTGAACATCAAGTACCGCACCCTCCTGCAAATGACAAAGTAAACCTTCAGATTTCTCCTTTTATACTGCTGCATTAAGTCACTTTCAGTTTCATTTCCCTGAAAGAGTACATGGTGCTCCAGGAAAACAAAACTTAACTGTCTGACCAAGTCAAAAGGACAATGACATCAATGTGATCCGTGTGCCCCCATTAAATGTTTTTTTTTTTCTTCTTTTTTTTATGTTAAGAGATTAAAACGGAACTCAAACGTATTCTAAATGAAGGGTCAGTGTTAAGTTTGAGTGAAGGATTTGGACCAAGCAATAGTATTTAGACAGAGACAGATTCATAGTTTCGAATACGTTGTTCATTGTCGGTTCTTTGAATGTTTCCTTCAGGGTTTGGTTGAATGGCCTGGAGAGGTGTACAGGCAGCTGAGAGGTTCACTGGACCAGGAATGACGGGTGAGACGGGATATGATGATGAGAGTAGACCACATGGGTAAACAGACAATCTGGTGAAGCGTGAAGGGCTGGTCTTTATATACTGCAAAGTCTTGGTGAGTTGATTAGCTGATCAGGAACATGCTTATTTGCTCATTAATAGTTCAATATTTCATTTAATCATCCTATCCTCATTATTCAGTTTCCATGTCACTGCTTTGTTGATATTAACAATAGCAAAAGACACTATTGGTCACATACCTGATAAAACTAATTCAGTATAAAACAGGCCTGCAATAAATCCTCCCCTCAGGATTATAATGTTATGTTTTTATTCGATCTGTTTGAGAGAGATGTTTTGATTTCATGATCATTGTGGAGGCTGTAATTTGTGGTGCTGTTGAACTGTACTGGGTTATACTGTAAAAGATTAAATATCATGTTTAATTTGACAAAAAGAAAAAGGTTTTCTAACACTTTGATTATCTATTATCTCTTAATCAAAAATGAAACACATTCATAACCAGACTGCTGATTTTGTAGCTTTATTGACTCAGTGAACAAGTCAGTAATGTGTACATGTTGACAATACAGAATGGATTGAATGAATCTTTTAATTCCATTAGTAGTGTAAATATTTGGCACCAGACACTTGGATGAATATTTAGCATCAGATACTTCAGGAAAAGAAAAGACAACAAAACAAACTGAGTGATCTTTTGAAAGAGATAAAATAATACATCTACATATTTTAATATCAAAAAAATAAAAGATGGCACATCATATTTCATTTTTTTCTGACACTTTGTTGCTTTGATTGTCTGAGTACATCTTTTCAGTGGCATTATAATGAAGTTTAAAACCGAACTCATCAACATCAGAATAGAGTTAAAGACACTGGAAATGTAAATATTTTGCATTAGATACTTCACAAAACAAACTGATCTCATAAAATATATAAAATGATACACGTAAATATTTAATATCTAATCTAATACGTCTATATATCTATATCTAATATGTTGAGAACACCAATATAAAATGATGATATTTTAATTCCTGTGGATGTGCAAATATTTGGCACCAGATACTTAAATGAAATAAAACCAATAGATTCTGAATTCTAAGTAAGACAATCACACGCTCATTAAAAGACAAAGAAAAGAAAAATAAAACACTCTTGTAATGACCATATGTTAAACAGACTTAATTACATTTTACAACACTGGAAATATAAATATTTTGCATCAGATACTCCACAAAACAAACTGATCTTTTAAGATATAAAATGATACACGTCAATATCTTAATATCTAATACATCACAAAAACTAAAAGAAAAAGACAAAGTTTAGTTTAATTTGATATGTTTCTTGGTATGTTTGTTACATGTACTCCTCACATGTACATTGACTCAGAGAATCAAAAAGCATTTAAAACTGAGCTCATCAACATTAGAATAGAGTTAAAGCTGATTATTTTTATTTAACACATGACATCAATCTCAGATGAAGATGAGCACTAACTACAGTGTTTGTCTTAAATTTTATATTCCCCCATTAGAGTTAACAGTGGTATCAGTATCTCTCTTGTATACAGTTACAGTTTGTGATTTTTGTATGTCTAATTAACAAGAAAGATAAAAAATATGTGTGAAAGGATAGTGAATTAATCAATGTAATGAGGAGAATGTGCACCTCTGAAACCACACAGCGTGTAGTCTCTCACTTGATGTAAAATGACTCTCTGAGACTCTCCTCTGCCTGCTTACGTGTGATTTTTTTCCAAGTTTCAGGAATATCAGCAGGATTTGCATTACATTTCATGGCAAACTGCTCGGTAAATCTTGCAATGACATATTTCCAGTAGTCTGATGCCTGAAGGCTTACATCTGGAGGAATTTTCCAGTCTGGGAAAATATCTCTGTATCGCTTGTAGGGGTGCCATTCCTTGTTTGTAGCATTACAGCGAAAATTGGTGTCACTGGTCACAGACGATGTGCATATGTCAATGACAAGTTTTCTTGTCCGGTGAAACTTGTATTCACCCAGACCCTCTGGCCAATGCAGTGAAGCCCAGTGCTCAGTATGGGCTTTCCCTCCCGCCTCACAGGGCACTGAACAGAACGGACACCGTTTACAACATCCAATCAGTTTGGTGAAAAACTCATTCTGGGGCTTCACATGGAGATGCTTCAGTTTTATCTGGATGTTTGATTTTTTGAACTCTTCTCTAAGAGCTTGTCCCATCTCATTCACACTCTCTGTTAAGCAGTAAGCAAACTGTTTTTCATTGGCTTTATTCAGAATCATGAAAGCACCAAGAGCATCCTGGGAAATGACCAGTTTATCTCCAAGTTCTTTGCAGATATCTTCAATAAATGTCTTCAAGTTACCACTCTTTTTCATTTTTGCCTTGTTGATAGCATCATTTATGCTCCTGATACTTGACTGAAGATGCTGATCCTCACACTTGAATGTCTTCGAATCCTTTGAGAAGTGAGTCACTATCTGGTCAAATATCCACTTCTTTACATATTTCTTATATGAGTCAATGTAGCTCAAATACTTTTCAAAATTATCCTTTGAAAGCAAATCCAGTAAAACTGAATACTGGAAGGATATTCTTGTGCTGAACTGTTGTTGTGTCAGCATCTCATCAATGATATCAGGACCTAGGGAACGGTTGATGAAGTCCTCGACTGCAGGCTTCAAGCATTGGCTGGTGAATTCTTCTGCCTTCGTATGGCACTGGTCTCGTTTATGAAACACATCTTTAAAATCAGCACAAAACTTCCCTTTGTTTTGACTCAGACATCTGTAAGGATCATTCACATGTAGGAAATCTTCGTGCATTTTCTGAAATACTCTGGCTGCAACTCCACAGATGTGTTGTTTTAGAGAAACTTCGAACTCAATGCCTGTCTTTACATCCTGATTGTTTTGCAGCCTCTCATCAATCATGTGTAGCATCTCCTGTATGTAGGTGTCATGGTAATTATTTTTTCTTTCCATTTTTTGAGTCACAAAATCTTCACAAGCATCTATGATGGTGTCAGCTGTGTTTTGTACAGACATTACGTGATTTTCAATCATGAAAAACTCACCTGACTTCCCTAATCCATCATCTTTATATTTGAAAGGCATTTTCCCACAATCTTTCAGGCTTTTTTTACTCAACAATTCAGATGCATGACTTCCTTTGTGTGACAGATTTAATCTCAGGTAGTAGGATACATTGGTGAAGACATCTGTTGCCTTTTGTTCAGAAAAAGACAGTTTCTTTACTGTTTCATTCCACATCTTATTAAATTCCTTTTCCAGCTCTTGATCTCTCATCTGGACATTCTTCTTCCGACATTGATCAATCAGTGCGCACACTGCCTTTTCAATTTCTTTTGTGTGATTTTCCTTGATTATATCAAGTTCTCTCATTCCCTGTTTGATTTCTGCTGCTGCAGTGAGCTGATGAAACACAGAGTTCTCCATTTCTCGTCGAAGGCTCTTTGCACTGTTTGCAAAGTCCTCTTTGTATCCTTCTACTAGATAGACATGACCCTCTTTTTGCTTGAAGTACTGTGCCAGATTTTCAAGAAGCTCTGTCTCCCACTTTGACAGCACTGTGGAGGCTTCACTTTTCAAACACATGATGAGATCTTTCATGTCAGCTATATCAGATTTTACAACTCCTGTACTGAAATGTGCAATTCTTGTTTCAGCATTTGTAACCCATGTGAACATGTGTATTTTGAATTCCCATTCCCATTTGTTGAATTCTGTGCACAGCCTCATGTATGCATCAGCCACCAGACTGTTTCTGAAGCTGAAGATGAAGTTTTCATGCTTTACTGCAGTCCACAGGCTTGACATCCACTCTTTAATCTCCAAGATATCATTAGCAGATGACTCACAATTTCCCAGTAGATGGATGATGTTTTTCTTGAGCTCATATACAGCTTCGCTGTACCCTGCATTGACCGATGCCATTGGTGGGTTTCCTTTCCAGAGTCCAGGAATGTACCAGTTCCCAGTATCTGGACTGTACTCCATCACATCCGTGAAGCTCTTGTTCTCCTCTTTCTTTTCCATTTTGGCAGCTGCCTGTGTCATCTCATTTAACTGTTGCAAGAGCAGTTTCCTGTCTCTTAAGTTCTTCTCATTGGCTGAAACATCTGATATATTCTGATGAACAAACTGACATTTAGGCTTTTTGCCCACCTCTTTCATCCTGAGAAAAGCGTGCACAACTATTTGCAGGATGTCCTTCATTTCTGTTGAATTCTCCATTGCAATATTGATGATGGTGATATCACTCAGCCCCACGACAAGTGTTGCAAGCTCATTGTCATGCTCATGGCTGTCATCCAGTTGCGCAAGCTCTGGTGACTTTAAGCCCTCAGTGTCAATGATCATCATGAAGTCACAGTTGAGCACTTTTTTGACATCGTCATTGATTCTGATGAGCAACATAAAAGCACCTCGAGTGCATCGACCACTGCTGACTGCAAACTGCACTCCAAACATGGTGTTAAGAAGAGTGGACTTTCCTGTGCTCTGAACTCCAAGAACTGTGACTACCAGTATCTTGTTCTTGGGAGACACCAAGTCATGGAGCTGAGAGAGAACATCACTCACCCATCTGAGAGGTATGTTGGAGGCATCTCCATCTACAAGCTCAAGGGGAAATCCATCCAGCAGCAATCCTGCACAGAGTTTGGGCAGATGTTGCAACAGTTGATGTGATGGGTCTGTTTCTGGAAGGGAAACTGAAGCTTCATAGATCTGACCCATTTCACGGAAGAAGTGTTCAGTCCCCAGTGAGCTGTTGGAAAGTTCTCTGTCAATCTCTTTAAGCTCATCTTTGTTCTCAGAATTCTTGGATTTTTCTCTGTACTGTTCCCTGAGGTCCGATAGTCTTTCTCGAGACAGGTTGTCAAGATTCATTCGCATCCATTTCAGGAAATAACATCTCTCTGTCCCTGGGCTCGATATCGCATTGATGAAGCATGCCATTGCAATTGATATGTTATAAGAGTTTTGTCTGTCTCGAAGTAATCTTTTCTGTACTTGAAGACCAGTTCTGTAAGTTTCGATTTCTTCAGACCCAACATTTCGAAGCCGAAATTCTTCCTTCTCTAAACTTGTCAGTTCTTTCCATATTTGGCCTTGCAGGGGGAGCTGCTCTTCTTTGTATTTAAGGGTGTCTTGAATTTCTGCAGTGATGGCATCTGCATTTTTCTTGGCAGTCTGGCACTCTGGACAGTCTTCATCAATCAAGATTCCCAGTTCATGGGCAATGTCAGCCATCTGCTCTATGCACATCTTCATCTTTGAGTTCTCTACTACATTGCTGACAGTTTTCCTCAAAGTTTTGATAAAGTCTGCATCATTTGTCTGCTTAGTCTTAATAAGGATGTTGTTGTTGGTCAAGCCCCACTTAATTGCAACTTTTTTTAGAGAATTTAAATTGAAGGTCTTGCTTTGATGGTTACCCACCAAGAAGATCTGTGCCTTGTGGTGTTGGTTAGTAAGCAACTTGCAGTCAGTGTCCAAATTGTCAAAGAAGACAAAAACTGCAGCAGATGTCTGACACAAAAAAGAAAACTGTGTTTCAAATGAAGTAATGTCCCCACGAAGGTTAGCTACAGCTACTGGCTCACTGAAAATATCAATGTTTTTGTTTCCACAAGGAAGGTTCCAAGTAATTTCAGTCAGTCCATCAGATATTCTTCTTGGACTGTCGCCACACTCCATATCGTGGTGAACAAAGGTGTCATGGTACTGCTGAGAATTGCTCAGAAGCTTATTGAGAATCTCTGACTTGGACAAGGAGCATTCCCCCAGTCTCACAAAGGATATCATTGGAAGTTCAGAGAGAACAATTCTGTCTTCAATAAAACCCTTGGATTGTGAAAGTGACTGAGGTCTGTACTCTTTAACAATGTCTCTCAAGGCCCAAAGCATGAGTGTGCACTGTTGTGTGTCACAATTAGGGAGCAGCAGCGGCACAGAAAACTGACACATAGACATTTTGAGTGCCATCTCCTGCTGTACAAAAGCATCAGAACACAGAAAGAGAGCAGTGATGATGTCAAGGGGGTTCAGCATGTCACCTGAGTTTGGACTGTCAAGCAGATTATCAAAATTGAACTCTGTAATCTCTGATGCAGCATCACAGTCAGATTCACATTCTGATGTACACTTCACATTCCTGGCTGTCACATTAACCATCATTAGCTTCTTCAGAAAATACCATGGAAGATCTGATTGACACTTGGCAGTTACGTCAGTAATGGTCTTCTCATCAATCTGAAGTATTTTACTCAGGGACAGCTTCTCTGTCAAGTGCTGCACCATCCCAAGATCCTCCAAGAACCTCTCCAGGTGTGTCTCTGTGGATATGAAGATGCTTGTTACATCAGACCTTCTAAATCATGGATCAAAACATTAACACATAGTACGTAGATTAATGCATTTATGTTCAAATTTCTGTACAATCAATTTTACATGCTTCTTTTGCATTCAAACTATAAAAAGCTACATTTGAAACATTAGTAACTGGACTTTTAGACATACAGCAATTTGTCTTGATGAAATTCTTTTATTTTGTCATTTAAATTGTTATGAACATTAGAAAGATTTATTCACACTTCTCCTCATACAGGACCAATATAAAATATTTTTGATGTTGTGATTTGTGCTGTTACTTCTCTTACTTCGATAGTTATTTGACCCAATTCCTGTTATTGTTTTAAGTTTTAGTTGTTTTCTATCCCGTAGCGCTGTGTGTGTGTGCGCGCGCGCATGCTTTGTGTGCGAGAGAGAATGGATGGGGTGGGGGGTTCCTTTCATTTCATTTCTTCTATTCTATAAAGCACTTTGTGTTACATTGTATGTATGAAAAGTACTGTACAAATAAAGTCAGACTGAATGATAAAATTGCACAAAAAGGCAGGGAAAATATATGATTTGGAATTTTGTTCAAAAGATGTTTAAAAAGTAAAGATAAAGAAGATGATAATGTTTTAAAAAGATGTTTCCACACTTTGAAAACCCCTGCTCCGAATGAGCGTTGTTCATTGAACACATTAATTTTTTGGTCAACATTCAGCTGAACGTATCTGCTTGCATCTAATGAATGTGAACATGAGTCATTCCCTTTTGCCAGAGTGAATGGTGCTCTAATGCACCAAAAAGCTGTTTTCAAACTGCCAAAAAATATCAGAATAACAACTGCTTTATGCCGGCACATGAGCATTTACATGCACTCCATTGTAGTCAGTATTCAGCGCTCGCTTCAGTTTGTCATTTGCTAAACTATAGTTTATAACATGTAAATGAAAAATTAAACACATACTTTCCTCCCAGAGGCATCCAGGATCTGATCTCTGTTCGTCTTGAATACATTCTCTTTCGTCCCTGGGACTACTGGACGACATTAGTCTCAAGCACTGGTGGTAACCTTCACTGTTTAAGTGAATGGACTGAGTATTCATATCATTGAATGTGGTGTATTATTGAGGCTTGGTTACTGTGATTATTTTGTTATTGCTAGTACAAGGAATAGTGAACGACAGTAAGGTTGAAACAAGTGTTCAGTGATAGTAATGAACATACTATTGTTTTAACATTTTTACCTAGTCATTGTGGATCCAAATAGAGAATTGAATATACATGTATAAATACAGGGTACCAGTTCATAGCTGTTCGTCTTGTGTGGTCATTGAATATTGCAAATAGCCTTTTCTTCCTCCTGTTCCAGTCTGGAATCTTCTGATTCTGGTCCAATGTAATCATAACTTCTACTACCAGTGGTGTTGAGGAGTTTTGTGCCAAGTATACAGTGATTCATTTGGTTTGTGGCACAAACATGCACTTGGACTCAAGGATGAACTGATTAGAACTTGGTTCCAATAGGTCACTGTGACCTCACAGAACACGTTTTCAGCCTTAACTCACAATTTAACTGAAATGTCAAACCTCACTGTGACATCTTAATATTCTGCAAAAACACCTCTGGCTATTATTCAGTGCTGTAATTCATGAAGGGGAGATTGTGACCATATTTCCTGCTGGTAGGCAGAGGTATACAAGGTGGTAATTATAGTTACTCTAATGTTTGTAAAATGTGTATTTCCAGTTTGGCCTCATGGTGGCGCTGTTATTTCACTGTTACTATGAATAAATACAGACAATGATGAAGAGGTATATGTACAATAAGCTTATCTGTCACAGTAACATTTTGTTGCAGCACCTGGGTTACAGGTTTTACGGCAGAGCAGCATTTTTGTTGGTGGACTGAGGGCTTTGATTACAGCAGCCCTGCAAATCAAGAGGCTACTGATGATGAGGTATTAGTTTTCGTGCCATTGATTCATCTGGTCATTTAAAACAAGCGGAGCATGAGTGTGACGAAGCTAGCTCAGAGGACGTGCACTCTGACTGGCACAATGATCAGGATACGCCCAAGCAGAGAAGTTAGGGCTAATGAGGGACTCTTACAGTAAACGCTTACAAATCCTCTTGGCTGAAAAACGTGCATACAATCATGCTGTGTTTATATGATTGCTGTGCATTTGGGTTTTGGACTCTGAGAACAGTATGCAATGTTTAAGATAGTACAGTATAAATTTGAAATAAAAACTTTTGTTGTTGACAATACTTCCTGGAAAGTTTAAAAGCAACATGATTTTAATCTACATTTCATAAATACTTGGTTGCTGAAGACCGAAGGCATGATTTGAAAAAAGGTCCATGCATTTGCATTTATGAGTTAAGTCTGCCACTCTTATACCCTTTTGTGTTGTCATTGCATTTGGCAACATAACTTTATAGTGCACATGATGATTTACAACATTGTATGTTGGGCATCCCTTAGGAGATATTATTATTGATG